AACCATATAGTCACAAGAGGGAGAGAGGGTAAGAACATTGGAACTCCCTGAACGACTAGAGAGAAGAAACAAATTTCTGTCAAATGTGAGACTTGTAACACTGCATGCATAGAATTCAAACTGAATACAGAATGCATACAGGAAATCTTAAAAAGGAGAATAAGAACGACAAAAACAGGGCTTGACACCAAACCTAGAGGGCACAGGTTTAAGGTGACAGGGGGAAAGATTTATAAGGGACGTAAGAGACAGCTTTCTCATGTAGAGGATGATGTACATATAGAATGAGCTGCCAGAGGAAGTGGTGGAGGCTGGTACAATTACAACATTTAAAAGGCATCTGGATGGGTATATGAATAGGAAATGTTTGGAGGGATATGAGCGAAATGCTGGCAAATGGGACTAGATTAATTTAAGGTATCTGGTCAGCATGGACGTATTGGCCTGAAGAGTCTGTTTCCATGCTGTACAGCTCTATGACTTTATGAGAAAGGATGAGCAGTTAACATAAAGGGAACCCAGAATTCTTTTTGGAACCAACTTCGGACAAAAAAATCCTTTATGATCTAAAGTTGTTGAACTCGATGTTGAGTCCAGAAGACTATAATGTCAAATAAAAAGATGTGTTTCATGAAGTTGTGTTGAGCATTACTGAAACACTGTAGCAGGCCAACAACAGGAAGTCAATATGGGAGCAAAGTGGAGAGTTAAAATTAAAAGCAACAGGAAGCTCGGGGTCATGCTTGCAGACTGAGCGAGGTGTTCCACAGTCATATAGTTTGTCTTTGGTTTCCCAAGTCTACAGAAGACCACACTGTGTCCAGCAAAAACAGCTTAGTATATTGAAACAGGCATGTATAAATAATACCTCAAAAGAACTGAGCTGGAATGGTAGTGTCCTGACTGCTGAGCCAGGAGGCCTGAGTTTAAGTCCCACCTGCTGCAGAGGTGCATCGTAATGTCTCTGAACAGGTTGGTGAGGAAAATATCTTCAAGCAGACCCTTTGTGGTGAAGTAGGAGTATTCCTATTTCTGGGCCTGGAGGCCTGGGTTAAAGTCCCACCTGCTCAAGAGGTGTGTAATAACATCTCTGAGAAGATTAACTGTAAAATATCTAACCTGTATTCTTGCATGCAGTAAGTTAGTATTAGAGTTTTATGAAAAATATTACAGAACCCAGAGGGTTCTCGTGGCACAGTGATGGTGTTCCTACTTCTGAGCCAGGAGGCCTGGGTTCAAGTCCTACCTACTGCAGAGGTGTGTTAAAACATTTCTTTAGAGGTTGATTGGAAAATACCTTAAAGCAGACCTAAGGGCTCATGTGGCACAGTTGGTAATGCCTCTACCTCTGGGCCAGGAGGCCCGGTTCAAGTCCTCCCTGCACCAGACGGTGTGTAATAAAATCTCTGAACTCCTTAATTAGAAATATCGTAAAGCAGACCCAAGGGCTCTTGTCTCACAGTGGTAGTAACCCTACTTCTGAGCCAGAAGGCCCATACTCAAGTCCCAACTGCTCTAGAAATGTGTAACAATATCTCTGAACAGGCTGATTAGAAAATATCTTAAAGCAGACCTAGGGGTCTTTTGAAGAAATGGTAGTGTCCCCATCTCTGGAACAGAAAGCCTGAGTTCTCATCCCAGCTACTCCAGTGGTATGCCCTAATCTGTCTAAACAAGTTTCTGAAGAAGGATCCAGAGCCGAAACATCAACTTTCCTGCTCCTCTGATGCTGTTTGGCCTGCTGTGTTCATCCAGCTCCACACCTTGTTATCTCAGATTCTTCAGCATCAGCACTTCCTACTATCTCTGCTTAAAGAAGTGCCTACATTGTCACCGCACTGTTATTTAGGCCTCTTGTGGTGCAGTGGTAGTGTCCCTGCCGCTGAGTCAAGAGGCCCAAGTTTAAGTCACATCTGTAACAGAGGTGTGTAACGACATCCCATTCGCAGGTGGACTAGAAAATATCTCAAAGTAGACCCAAAGGGTTCTTGTGGCACAACAGTAGTGTCCCTGCCTCTGGACCAGGAGGCCTGGGTTCACATCTCACCAGCTATAGAGCTGTGTAATAACATCTCTCTACACACTGCTTAGAAAATACCATAAAGCAGACCCAGGGATGGATCTGCAGAACTGCCTATCCTGGGCTGAGACTAGCCTATGTACCCCCATGAGCAGTGGCTGCATTTTGGTGTTCAACAATAAACAATGTTTCTTTCCAGTGAGGCTTCCTGAGTTATTACTTTGGTAGTGAAAGTCAAGAAAAGTTTCTGACAGCCTTGTGTGGTAAGATCATGATGGGCAGGTATTGGGAATGTCGCTGTTTAGAAACTGAAACCTTACGATGACGGTATGGAGGATTGCCCCAGTACGCTGAAAAATGACAAACAGAACAGAAGGTCACTGACAAATTGTCATTCTGACCACCTGTGGACTTTCACCATCATAAAGGGTTTAACTTACCCGGCAATCCTGAAAGGGTTTGGAGGGATATGGGCCAGCTGTAGGAGGCGGGACTACTTAAGTTTGGGATTATGGTCGGCATGGACTGGTTGGACTGAAGGGTCTGTTTCTGTGCTGTATGATTTCATGACTCTATAATTAATAGATATGGTAGTGGACCACTTGAACCCCAAACCATTTGTTATGTAACAGTGTTACAGCTTTAACACGACACAAGCTGCCTGGGGAGCCAGTTACTGAGTTCTTGATAGGACTGTGGAAATCAGCAGAATACTGTGAGTATGGGTCCGCTCTCTGGGAAACATTAAGGCATCACTTGGTTTGTGGAATTAATAATATTGCGATCAAAATGAAGCTACTGACTGAACCAGATCTGGACCTTAAGAAAGCCACAGAACTCGCGAAAACGTGGAACAAGGAGCTCAGGAGCTTCACAGGTCCATAGACGGTACCTTCCTCAACTTTGGGCTAGCCCATACTACATAGCCAAGTCCCCAGTGGGCAATAACCCTGCTGGTTTCCAAGGAAGGGTGATTGGAGTCGGAGGCCCCAAGGCTCCACAACTGAACGGGACGCTTCTCCGCAATATGGTGAGGAACAAGAATGTCCATGCCGCAATTGTAGTCATAGGATCCGCCTACACAAGGCTACTGAAACGGGTGAACCAGGTACTGCCAAGGCCAAAGAGTGATAGGGCTTTGCAAATAAATCAGCCCGAGGATGAGGAATTGATACAGCTAAATTATATCACTATTCCCAAAGTGGTCCCAATTAAGGGAAATGGCCACTCATAGACATGGAGGTAGACACAGGTACCGCTATATCTATTGTTGGGGAGTAAGCCTTTACGAAAGTCTGATGGGGCATCTTGCCTTTCTGAGGAAGATACTGAGGAAGGGTAACCTGACCTGAAATGTTTAGCTTTGATTTCCTCTTCACAGATGTGGCCTGACTTTTTCAGCAACTTCTGTTTTTGTTCTTGATTTACAGCATCCGCAGTTCTTTCGGTTTTCATCTTGCCTTTAAGCCTGGGAGGCACCAAGGCTAGATTGGTCACATGCACTGAGGAGCCGTTACATATCATTGGGACCACTGTAATCCCCAGTTATGCAGGTGTAGCAGACAATCAAACTCCCCTTAATGGTGGTGCTAGGGCCAGGTCCCAATCTCTTGGGAAGGGGCTGGCTGCAGAAAGTCTGCCAGGACCGGCAACACATTTTTAAAATGGGTTCCGGCAATCAATATCAAGTCATTGGGGAGAATCCCAAAGTGTTCCGAAAGGACGTTGGAGCAATAAAAGGCACCAGTGCCAGGATTTATGTAGATTCACATGCCCAACCTAAATACTTTTGGGCATGTCCAGCCTCCTATGCCCTATATGCCAGAGAAGTGTGTGTTCCAGGTAAATGAGGTAACAAGAGTTGAATAAGGTGGGCAAGGGATCAAATTTAAACATTTCTGTGGGACAGATGTCACTAGGGCCTTGCTTATGATAAGTATAATCTCACTGAATGGAGGTAATAACCTTAGCTTCTTTATCCAGCACTTGCTCCATAGTTTTGATTGCCTTGGCATTGCAAGTGCACATCTAAACACTAAAATGTTATGAAGGTTTCTGCCTCTAACACCCTTACAGGCAGTGAGTTCCAGATGTCCCCAGCCTCTGGGTGAAAAAGATTTTCCTCACATCTTACACTCACTCGCTTTCTTTTTAAATACCTGTAGAAGCTCTTGCTTTAAGCTGAATTGGAATATCTAGAGGAACTGGACATCATACGCCCATTACAATTTGCTGAATGGGCTGTGCCAGTAGTCCCAGCTGTAAAACCTGACAACTCTCTGTGGGGATTATGAGTTGACAGTCAAAAGAACTTCTCACGTAGACAGATATCTTATGTCGTGCTGGCTGGGGGTCACATGTTCAAAACTGAATGTGTGCCATTCCTTCCTCTAACTGGGGCTTGAGCATTCAGGAAGTACATTATTATAAATACTCACAAAGGACTATATGAGAACACTTGCTTGCCCTTTGGAGTACTATCTTCAGATTGCACCATCTTTCAAAGGATAATGGAGAACACCCTTCCAAGAGGTGCCCAGAGTGGCAGTCCATCTGGATGATATTTTTAATCTCAGACCTACTGGAAAGGAACATGTGGAGAGCTTGGAGGAGATCTTCTCAGGAGAAGTGTGTGTTCCAGGTAAATGAGGTAACAAGAGTTGAATAAGGTGGGCAAGGGATCAAATTTAAACATTTCTGTGGGACAGCTGTCACTAGGGCCTTGCTTATGATAAGTATAATCTCACTGAATGGAGGTAATAACCTTAGCTTCTTTAATTGGAAAGGCCTCCTTCTCTTGTATTTTGCGAAAATAACAAATAGATACTTCAGATTTACTCTTTAATATATTACATAAGGTTTAAAGTCAGTTAAAGTCACCGAGCAAGTCTGAGGTTTGCCACAAACTTTGGATAAGCAGACATGGGCAAAAAGATTTGAACAAGAAAGCTGGAAAGTGTAGTCAAAACACAACACCTACCTACGCTCCAGTCCATCTCCTCCACACTGTCACCATACAAGCCATGCTTACTTTTTCCTAAAAATTCTGGAGATGCATATAGTGCTGTGTGGACAGGTATGAAAGACATAAAGAGCAGGAACGGACGGTCTGAGTTTCTGCAAAGTAAGAAGACACAAAAGGAAATTCTGATTAGAGAAGTTAAATTAAGTGTGTATAATGGTGTGCAATGCAAGCCCAGCTATACAGGAAGTAGTGCTACAAGCTGGCACACTGGTCATAAATGAGATGATGACCAATCTTATTTTTAGATGGGTTTCCCTTTAATTGTCCCATGATAAATACAAATATATAAAACAGGGGTAGAAGTAGGTCCATTCAGATCCTCAAGCCTGCTCAGCTATTCAATAGGATCAAAGTTGATCTATCTGTACTTCAAATTCCACATTTCCATTTAGCCCTTAAAAAAAGTGATTCCTTTGCCAAACGAGGATCTAATTATTGTTGCTTTAAAAGTAGCTATTATTTAATTACCCTGCCTCTATTGTCTTCTGAGGCAGATCCAAAGTCCTACGGTCCTTGGAAACAAATTCTCATTTCAGTCCTGAATGGGTGACACTTAATTTTAAAATAGTGCCCTCTAGTTCTAGACTGACCCACAAGAGGAAACATCTTCTCCACGTCCACAATTGTCAATCCAATCAGGTTCTTGTACACTTCAGTCAAGCCACTTCTTGTTTCCACTTGAATTCAGAACAGCAAGTTCAGACTGATTAACTTATCCTCAAAAGCCAACACACTCATTTTAGGTATCAATCTAGTAAACCACATCTGGCCTACAATGATTTACACCCTTTCTTAAATAAGAAGACGAAAGCTACACGCAATATTTCAGATGTGGTCTCAACAATGAACTGTATAACTAAAGTATAACATTCTTATCTTTATGTTCAGTTCCTGTCATGCTAAAGGACGGCATCCCGTTAGCCTTCTTGATTACATGCTGTACCTGCATACTAACTTTTTGTAACTCATGCACCAAAACACTTAAATCCCTGCACCTCAGAGTTCTGCAGTCTTTCAAGAGTCACAGATCTATAGTACAGAGAAAGGTCCTTCAGTCCATTTCATCCCTGTCAGTCAAAAACAACCACCTATCTATTCTCCAGCACTTGCTCCATAGTTTTGATTGCCTTGGCATTGCAAGTGCACATCTAAACACTAAAATGTTATGAAGGTTTCTGCCTCTAACACCCTTACAGGCAGTGAGTTCCAGATGTCCCCAGCCTCTGGGTGAAAAAGATTTTCCTCACATCTTACACTCACTCGCTTTCTTTTTAAATACCTGTAGAAGCTCTTGCTTTAACATTTCTAGGAGGCTTCCTCTCTTTGACCTGATTAGTCTTTCAGTTACTCTTTTTATACTCTGACAAATAATCTCATTTGCCATTTATCTATGTGCAGTTATGCTTTTTTCCTTAAGTTGGAAACTTTCCTTAACTTTGATAGTTAACCATGAATGGTGGATCCTCCTTTTGTTTTTTCCCTTTAAGTAGGAGTACACTTACTTTGAACATTCTGACATTTCCCCTTAAGCGTCTGCCATTGTGCCTCTATGGACATATCCCCTAGTGCAGTTTGCAGTTCATTTCAGCTAGCTTAGCTTTCATACCTACAAAGTTGGCATTAGTTAGGTTTGATATATTAGGCTTAGTCTTCTCCCAATCTTCATCCTTTCAAACTAGAATTGAATTATGTTGTGGTTGTCACAGGTCCCTTAACTCTGATGTCATTAGTTAATCCTGTCACATTACACAATACCAAGTGTAAAACAAACTGCTCTCTTGTTGATAGTAAGAACTGCAGATGCTGGAGTCAGAGATAACACAGAGTGGCGCTGGATGAACACAGCAGGCCAGGCAGCATCAGAGGAGCAGGAAAGTTGACGTTTCGGGTTGGGACCCTTCTGAAGAAACTCCACACTGTTTTATCTCTGTCTCCAGCTTCTGCAGTTCCTACTATCTCCTCGTAAATCCTGGTGTTGACTCTGGGAAAGCATTCAGCTGTGGCATCTATCCTGTTACTTCAAACTCAAAAAAACTTTGGCTGTTGATATTTATCTTGTGAACATCTTCACTCTTGACATCAATCCTCTTATTCGCAAAAATATTGCTCTCTGCCCCTCAGCCTCACTGAGATTGTTATAACATTTGCAGCTGACCTCCCACATTGTACAACAC